GCCATCGCGGGCATCGAAGCCGTCGTCGGAGCTGTCGTCGAAGCTGGCGTTGAAGCAGTTGCAACGGCCCCGCGGCGGCTTCTCGTGGTTACCGTTCTCAATGAAGCTGAGGACCATCGTATCCAAGCACACCGAGCTCGGCTCGACGTCGCCACCGTCCTCCTCCCTCTCCTTCTCCTTCCAGTCTCCAGAGCCAGCGAGCTTCTCGGCCAGGGAGGGCCTCAGGACGCTCGGAAACTGCCGCTCGAGGAGCCGCTTAAGCCTCGACTTGGCCGCGGCCTTCCACGGGTCGCTTCTCGGCGCGAAAGCGATCGCCCCTTCCGAATCGATCGGCCGAACCTTCATCTGGAACGGCATCGCTCAAGCGATCCCGACCAAAACCCCACCTTTCCTCCTCCGCGCACCGCTCCAGTCACGCCATCTCCTACCACTGCCGAACCCTATCAAAAATCGCAGCCTATAACCCGAACACCAGGAAGAAATGACCGAATCCGAGGTCCACCTAAAACAAGAAACACAGAAGAACTAATTTTTCGACACGAAGAAGCTGGAAGAGGCACTGCGACCAAGAACTCGTTCAGCAGTCAAAAGAACTCCGCCATCTCACCTCACGTCCGCAAGGATTCACCTATTTCAACCACAAAACGGCGATCTCCGAGGTCACCGACGCGATGAGACACTCCCCGTCGATATTCCAGCGAGGGTCGGCGCCAGAGATGCGATTTCCTCCATTGATTCCGGTGACTGAGGTCGAACAGTTCGGGGTCCGAAGGAACGGAGTGGTTTAAAAAGGCATGGAAAAAACCCATCGCTTTTAGCTCCGCTACGTGGCGGACTTCGCCGAGCGGCACGAACTTCCCCTCTGATCATGGCGCGTGTCCATTCTTGGTACTACCGGTGACGCACAACCGTCCACTGTGTATAAATGCAAGACGCAAAATGTCCGAAATAGATCTAATCGATGACTTAATTAACTAATTATCCTCCTAATTATCCATAACGTCTCGTTAGACACGTGAGGGGTAGATCAGTAAATCGAGACGTGAGGCGAATTCCGCGGCTCGGCATTAAATTTCCTTCCGATAATGACACGTGTCTCATCCGCCCGGATGAGGCGGCGCGCAGCCGTCCACCAGATTTTTCATCACGGACACGAAACCTCATAATAGAATAGATTAATGTACCATTTTGCCCCTCTATTAACCATGACACGTGAGGGGCAAATCAGGGAAGCGATCCTGTAGGTGTACTCGATCGATGGTATTTCGGTGAATAACGGAAGCGTAGAGGATTGATACGTCATTATGCTCACTCGTGACTAAAATCGTAACCCGAAGACCGCGATGGTCCAGCCTTTAGTCATTCACGTTTATAACGTGACTACATAAACCGTTATTTCCAATATAACGTTTTTAAGAGGGTGCGCTCGCTCGTGACCCAAGTCGCGGGCCCGCGGGGTTCACAATCTTTTGTGGTGCTCACGTTCGTAACGTGAGTACGGCAACCGTTATTTCCGACACAGCGGTTTTCTACGCGAGGAGTTGACCGCCACGGCGACGGTGGCAACTCCGGCGAATAATGGAACCGTGAGGAGGGTGCGAGACTCGTGACCCAAGTCGTCGGAACAAGCCTTTCTCGACGCGGAGATTCGTGAGGAGTCGAGATTATTCTTTCCGCGTGAGTGCAGGAAAAGAAGAGAGAAGGAGGCGACGCATCGGCATTAACTCCAAGTTTGAACTCTGAGGAAGCTTCGTGTCTTTTCTGGATCGAGAAAGTATGCAGAAACGTACCCTTTGGTGTGATTTGATTTAATAAACGTACTGTTTCAGATTTTTGCAAGAATTATGATTATTTTTATGATTAATTTGATAGAAATATGGCAGACTCTGTGGATTGATCAAATGTTTGATAATAATGTCATTAAAAACACTGAAATAATTCGACAGTATTATTGTTATTATTATTATTATTATGAAAATGAGTGAAATGACAAATAATTGCTGTAAATCTTTAATTAAGTATGTTCATATCCTATACCATGAATGGCACACATCATTGGCTAGTTGGAAGTGCATTGCTTGCATAAGCATGGAGGTGTTTTACTAGCTTGCAGTGTAGGATCAAAAGCCAGAAATCTAGTTTTTGGTAGGGTGATTGACAGAGAAGAATCTGAATCATATTAGACATTTTATCTATGCACCATATAAAAATGAGACATGAGAAGAGAGGACACATGAGTCAAATCTTCTCACCAAAGCCAATTACTTTGACATGAAGAAAGCATTGCAAATAAAGTTAAAAGAAGCAATCTTTTCTATGGCCAAGAGAGAGAAAAGCAAAGTGAGAGGGAGCCTTGTGAAAGAGAAATAGGAGTTGAAAGCACTGGCTACACTTGTGTTGGTGTGTACTCCATCTCTAAGGTTAAAACAGGTGTCTAAAGTTCATGAGAGAGGTTACATCCTCAAGTTACTTTTGCTTTAAAGACACTCAGATGCCTCACTTTGATTTCCCCACAAGTCATTCTTGTACTCTTTCTTTGTATTCTTTCAACAAACAGTCAATTGATAAGCTTTTGTTCTACTGGGGAAGGAATGTTGTTACCTTGCTATCTTGAGATGCTCAAGTTTCCCATACATCCTCATCTCTGGACAACCAATTTAATTATTGGTAATATTACTATAGTCTAGTAATTGTAACAAAAGGGTCAATACATTTCTCATAGAGAAGAAATCTTTAATATTGAAGGAATAATTAGGACAACCAACAAAATAGAACATAAAGTCAAGAATAATAAATAGAAGATTTACTTAGTTCCAGACTCTTTACTTAGATTCATTCTTCATCATAAAAAAGAAAAAAAATTCCTTCTTAACTCAATTTAAATCCAAATTCAAATCCAAAATCCTCATATATTCCATCAGATTTTCTCTCAAATAGTTGAATTTCTTCTTTTTTTTTCTTCCACCTCACCTCCCAAAACCTCAAATTACACATGAAATATATAGATCTATGAATTTATAATCTTTAATATTTTTTTTATCAAGGCAAAAGAATTTTCAAATATGAATTTCTTATTAATTATTCAAATGCATCCTTCCAGTAAACTTATCCTCAAAGCAACTTTTATTCAAGTTTTCCTGCAAATAAACATATTTCTAATTACATATTTTCATAATGAACTGATTGTCCAGTTGTTACAAGATGGAGATTTGGTTCTTGCAGTGTATATCCCAATTTAAATCAATATATTCCTAAAATTGAAATTATATCATGAACACTTCATCAGTCAAATCTTTTTTTTGACTCCACCAACTATAAATATGATTCTTTATTTAGGTACACCTTGCAGTCACTCATTTTGGCTAGAGATTCTGACAAAAGAATTGGTAGAAATCCTTTTCTATCAACCTGCAATGGATTAGAGGTAGGTGAGGATTTGCCATCATCAGGCAGGACCTTCATCATGTCAGCCAAAATTCTGCTGTTCACTGAAGTAATTAGCTATCCATCTCCAAGCAGTGAATATATCAATGTTAAAAGTGCTGTAGAACCATTTGTAAGGGAAGATTAGTACTAAAATTTTTCTCTCTGAACAGATACAGCAAACCATCCAATTCCATCTGAAGCAATTAGAAACTTGCAGAGGATCTTAAAAGATGTGGTAGGTGAGATTTTGTAAAACATGATAGTTTAAATTTAGCATCACAAGTCAGCAATAGGGATCTATATTTTATTATATTTATTTTTTATACAAATATTAAATGATAAAGATGGGATTTGATCCGATAATTTTACAATAATAGAAAGTTTTTATCAATAAATCTTACAAATTTATTAGATAAGATTTCGAATCTTCAATAAGTCTAATGCATTATTATTGAGTCAATATTTGAAGTATAAAATAGGAAACTATTAATTTTTTTTTATGTCTAAATCATTCTTTCTTCCCCTGCTTCTCCCAGTATTTTTCTCTTCCTGCACTTTGCTCCATATCATGTTTGCAAGATCAGCCTCATCCTAAATGCAAAAGATGAGTATGATGAAAACACTTAGTTTGATGCTTTTGCATGAATATAAAGGACAATCTTATTATTATTTCTTGAATCTACATACATACTGCAACTGAAGCAACCCTCAGCTGATCTAACTTTTTTTTGACAGGTGAATATAATTTCTTGTTTCAGGCTGACAATGAAGAGATTAAGTTTGATTTGATGTGCAGGATCTTTGTGAGTATCCATGAATCTTTTCATTTGAGATTATCTTGACAACATAAAGCTTATTAGATTGTGTGATCTAATCAACAATTTATTAGCAGATAACCCAACCCCTCAAAGAACAAGAGATGATACTGTGTTCTTCATCCTGAAGTGATGGCTTTGAAGCTCCAACAGGAACTGCTCTTGTGAGGCTTCAAGATTCAGCAAATGACAATTAAGTCTCCCTGATTCATCATCTGCATTCTGCAAAGGTGAATTAGAAGCTAAGGTAGAAAAGAAAGATTTATCTGATAAAAAATGTAGAGTTAAACTGAGCTTAATTGAGAAATTTGGCATGAATGTCACACAAAAAAAAAATGAAGAACATAAATCATGAATATAGATAGCCATCAAGACTTAAATATGATGATAATTTGATTTCTGTATCTTTCTTGCACAGGTTATATTTATCAAAATATATATTTAATTAAGTGTGTAATGAATGAAATTACTGTGTATATTTGAGTAAATCTCAGCTAAAATTACTTAATTTCCCATCTTTATTTTTTGCAAGTAAAAGAGTTATTAGCTAATTATAATTGTGCACTTAAATTATCGATCAAGTATTTCATGCAAAGATAGAATCCGACCCGTCAACCCATTGGGTTGACTTAAACGGATCGAGTCCCGTCGTTTCCTGTTGCATTGTCACGCGCAGTTATCGGGTCGGGTCAAGATTGCTTAACGGGTTATAAGATTCAATTACTAGCGTCATCTCCTGTTTGTTTTGCACCCCCAAAACCTCGCCCTCCACTCCGACCATGAATCAGATGGAGTCGTCTCTCCGCGTCCGCCGCTTCGAAGGGCTCCCCTCCCCCGATGAATTCTCCTCCAAGATCGAACCCGCCAATGTTGCCGCGGTACTCGATCTGCCTCCCAATCGTTCTTCCGTAGTTTCCTTCTCGTGTTTTGATTTCAGAACTCTTCCTTTTCACCTCTTCACGAAAATGATCTCGGTCCTATTTTTGCCCTCTTTGTAGGTCTTTCACGGCGCTGTTAAGGATTGGAAGGCCATCTCACGGTGGAACCCTTCAGATGGAGGTCTTGACTACTTGGAGGTTAATTCTCTCTTTGCTGCTTTGCCATTTCATAACTACTCTCTGTCTCCGAATAAAATCTTGAATATTTTAAAGAAAATTGTCTTTTTTTATTAATATGAACTTCGAGAGGTCAGAATGATTGGAGATGTTTCGGTTTTATGGTTGGGTAATTCTGTCAGTTTGTTGTATAAGATGCGGGTTGGGTGCAAATTACTTGTGTATTCTAGAAAATAGCTGGTACTGACAGCAGATGAATGAACAACACGTTCGGTGATAACTCTGTAATTACAGTATAGGGGTTTGGTTTGTGATAAGAACACAAAGAACTCAGGATAAGTGTTTGTTGGTTGTTGATCTGTTTGCTGATACGATGATTAAGAGTTTAAGAACGTTTAGTTACAACTGGAAGTATCAGATTGGTTCAAGAGGGTCTGTTTGTGTGGATCAGTACCTCCATCAGTATATGTGATCTCAGGCCTCGAGTTGGATGCAAAAATTTATTGCCAAACTAAATTACTGAAACAACTTCTCCAGCACTAATGAAACTTCCAGATGAATGCTGCAGAATAACGGCTTCACTTTGATGTGATATTTCGATATGCTAATTCTGAAAATCCATTGTTTTACAATGTTAGGGTGGCATCCTAATGTGTTCATAAATATTGTTGTAAATATTTGATGAGGGAATGTACACTGGCTGGAGTCCTATTGGAAAGACATTTTCTGTGTTTTTCTTACACTTTTAAGGATGTGCCTTCACAAGTTTCACACATGTAAAAATTATGGGTGACTGCTGAGGGACTCATAGGCAATTTGAATGTAAGTGCTAGATTTTGTGTGAGGCTTTTTTGAAAAAGACTGGATGCCATGGGACGAACAGGTTTTATTATTATCTTGATTGAAATTGCAATCTTTCTTTTCTCAACACTTCAGTTGACACGTCACAATTTTTTATGTAAACATGGGTAAAATGACCTGTGGGTACTGCCTGCTATGATCTATTTTAGGAGATCCAAAAGTAGATGACAATTTCTAGTAAAGTAGGAACTTTCATGGGCGGCCATCTTTTTTACACGACACTTTATCCTTAGTTCACAATAGTGCAATGTTATGTGAAAGATGGTAAAATAACTGCAGGAAAGTGTTGGGTCTTCTGTCTTAGAGGCTATGCTGTCAAGATCAGGGCGAATTTTCTACGGTGATATTAGAAGTCATGAGAGGGTATGATCCCCCTTCCTTCTCTCTCTCTCAATTGCTTTTTAATATTATAAATCACATATATCTATGCACATCATGTTCATGGTTTTCACAGACTAGCTTCCTTAGCTTGGCGTATTTAAATCTGATTATAGGTACCAATACCATTCTCTACATTTATTACCTCTTGCAAGAAGCATCTTCAAAATTTGGATGTTGGTAGCTCTTTTGAGGCACAAGTCTGTTCAGAAGATTCAGACTTGGCTAACTCGGATATCCCTGGTGAACTATATGTAGCTCAGGTTGGAACCATGAAATATTTTTAATATGAATCATTTAGCACATGTAGTACAAATGGTTGAAGTTGTTCTGAAATTTCTTTGCAATCATGAATCTAAGAAATAACCTTGTTTATGTGTGACAAAATGAGCTGACTGCATCCACAGGTTCCCATCATGAACACGGAAAGAAATGAAAGGTGTCCGTTGGAGACTCTGACAGAAGACATCCAGATGGTTCTGCTCAGCCTTCATTTTCCTTTGTTATTTTCCTAGTATGAGACCAGATCTTTGAGTTAGGTTGCATATGAACATATGTAATTGTGGTTGACTTTCTTTGTGATGTAGCCTGCGTTTCTAGGGATCAAAACTTTGGCATCGATTAACTTCTGGATGAATATGGCTCATTCTAGATCAAGCACTCACTATGATCCACACCATAATCTGCTTTGCGTGGTATCTGGTTGCAAAAGAGGTATTATCTTAGTTCATGTTTTCTTACTTGGCAAAAATCCTAAATCTGTTCCAATTGGAGGTTTTTTTTTTCTTTACCTTTTTACAACTTTGTGACCATGGTTTATAGCGGTTAAAGTCATTAGTTTTTTTTTTTCCTTTATTGCAATGTAGGTTGAACAATTTGTTTGAGAACTAGTTGAGTAAATAGATTGAGCTGTATTTTAATAATAGATCTATTAATTGGATGCCAGTGTATGCCTTGATAAATGACATGGAACTAGATAAGCTTATATTTTAGGCCTTTCTGGCATTTCAATTGGTCTGTAGAGTTAAATGGATTACAAACTAGAATTTGCTAAACCTAGTGGGCATGTCTTGCCTTGTGACATTTTTTTTCTAACTTACCATGAAGTTTCTGATAACCATACAATTGTTTTGTCTGGATTTTTGACAGTAGTACATACTGCAAGTACATGTATTACACATCATACTTTAGCTTTGGTAGGATGGACTTTTAAATCATATTGGCTGGTCAATGCACAAACAGTATCAAAGTCAATCTGTAACAGAACATCATGCAACTAATAACTTTTGACCTGATTTAAAATAAACTTCTGGTTAGATTTATCAGGTGATGGTCTGCCCTAGATTGATATGTACTTTCCACTTGGGGCATATGGATTTTTTGGGATTCACTCAAGCTGAGTGTTTGTTTGTCTGAAGTGACACTTCATGATGTAAAGACTGACAATTTGCTTGTCTTGTTGCACTTCTCTTCATGTTTGATAACTCACACATGCCGTTATACATGGTTGTAGTGGTCCTTTATTCTTGCCACTGACAAACTTGTGTTTTTGAATGTGTATATGCATAGTGAAGACAAACGATGTAATGGTTATCCAGTTAGTTCCTATAGTGGTCTATGGTGCATAAGCTAGATTTTTTTTTTTAAAGATGTGAACTCCTTCCATCATCATTTTGTGATCTTTTTCCTATATTTTGATCATGACTTATAATTAGTGCTTGTTATATTTCGATGATCCTGCACACAAGTGGTTAGGTCTCTATATTATGTGCCATCATACTTCTATCTTCACACTCTATATTTTAATAGTAAGCAGTAAACATTAACTTTCTTCATGAACTGTTTTGTTGGTAAGCTATGTGAGTCATATCTCATTTGGCCATTTGTGTGGCTTAGATGTACCAGTATGACATGTGATAAATAGTCATTTTACATTTTAATATAATGTATATTGATTACACCATCTGTCAAACTCTTCCTTCTCAGTTGTCTTATCGCCCCCTTCTGCATGTTCCATATTATACCCGATGCCAGTGTATGGAGAGGCCTCAAACCATAGGTATGATGTTCTTTGATTATACAAGGAAAACTATATACCCACTTGAAATCTTCATTTTTCTCTGCAGTGCTGTTAATATAGAGAAGCCTGATTTTTCGGTCCATCCAAGAGCCAAAAACTATGAGGAGCATTCCCAGAAGATCGTTCTACATCCTGGAGATGCTCTTTTTATTCCTGAAGGATGGTAGGGTAAATTGTTTGTTTGTTTATAATACATTTTCTTACTTGCTATCTTAAGCATAATTTTTTACATTCATCTGTGCTATAGGTTACAATTCTTTGTTTTTGTTTTGCAAGACATGTATGCTTGTTAGTTTATTTTTTTTCAAGAAACACGGTGCTAACTCAGCAACTTGAGGAACAAACTCTTCTAGGTAAATTTGCATCCTAGCCTATCTGGTTCTTGTGCAATAAAAATAAAAAGATAATAATTCTTAATTTCTATAAAATGCTGAAAATATTATTAAAATCTCCAGGAAATTTTTATTTGATAAACTAATAGGAGTGCTAAATGTTATTGATTGTTGAAGATTATAGTAAGTTTAGGTTAAACTTTTGTACTTCTATCTAATGGCAATTGCCATATACTCCGTTTGGGAGGGAGAAAAGTTTATCGTGCAAAATTGATATTGCATGTGTGTGTATGGATTATGTTAGGTTGGTCATGCCCAGTGTTTTTAATAGGCGCTTGGGTGACGTGAGGCTGATCGCCTTGCACGACCTCTAGGCAACATGATTCAATGAGGTGCCGCTTAGGCGCTCACTTGAGTGAAAGTGGCATAGCACAAGAAATTAGAAGAGAAAGGACGAGATTGGAAGAGAAAGGGGTCCAGGTGAGGAGGGCACTAAGTTGAAAGCAAATACAATAGAATCGATCAGTGCTTGGCGGTGAAGACTTGATTTGTGCTCGGTGGTGGATGAGAGGGTAGAAGATGCGATAGATGGGAGGGTAAGTGATCTTGCTGGAAGGCGAAAAGATAAGGTTTTGAAGGTGGCGGATGGGAGGTTAGAAGACTCGCTGGAAGATGTGATCTCTCTCTCCCCTCTCTTTCTCTTTCACGATCTACCTTTACTCACGCTCAAGACATGATGCGTGATGGACGTGAGAAGTAATTAGTGTGCTGTGAAAAGCAATAAGTAGTGCCGAAGACACGATGCATGATGGACATGAGAAGCAATTAGTGCGTCGTGAGAAGCAATAAGTAGAGCACTAAGTAGCAATAAGTGGCATAATAAGTAGTGCACTAAGTATTAAATCACAATAAATAGCACTTTTGATTCCAATTCCGTTTCGTCAAGATGTCAATTGACTCATTCATTTCTAAATTTGGGTCAAGAATCACCCTATCAAATGCTATTGAGGTCAAATTATTAGTCAATTTAGGTATAGTAGTTAAAGAATCACATTCAGTAATATATATTTCAAGTCGGCTGTGGGAACTCAATTTGATGTGGTATTTTTATTTTTATGATCATATTTATCTATTTTTTATATTTTAATATATATATTTTATATTTTAATATTCTTGAGCGTCTCGCTTTGCTCGGGCAGACATGTAGCATCTCGAGCGTTTTGGGACCTTAATACCTTTTGGTGCTTAGCACTTTTAAAAACATTGGTCGTGCCATCGTGAGCCCAACCTTCGAAATTTTGAAGCATGCCTCACCCTTTTTACCTATGCATAAGGACATTGGAATAGCCTTGTTATGGTTATAAATGGGCCTAACCTATTGGCTTAGTTTCCATCTTGACCATGACTTTGAGTGCACATGTCTGTCTCTCTGTATAGATAACATTAATAACATTATATATATATATATATA